GAAGAAGAAGAAGAAGAAGAAGAAGAAGAAGAAGAAGAAGAAGAAGAGAAGAAGCAGCAGCAGCAGCAGCAGCAGCAGCTTGGGGCTGGGAAGAGGGTTTAATGAGTAAGGATGTTTGCTGCACAGGCATGAAGATCTAAGTTGAGATCACAGAACCCAAATTAAAAAAAAAAAAAGGCTGGGCATAGTTGAATGGGTATCCATAACCCCACATTCTATGGTGGGAAGAGAGAGGGAGATCACTGGGGCTTTTGCTGCCTCCCCAGCTCCAAGTTCAGTGAGAGACCCTGCTTCAAAGGAATAAGAGGGAGAGCATTAGAGCAAGATACATATAATATCTCTCTGGCTTCTCTCTCTCTCTCTCTCTCTCTCTCTCTCTCTCTGTGTGTGTGTGTGTGTGTGTGTGTGTGTGTGTGTGCAAGAAATATGGACATGCATAACAAAATGACAAGTAAAACATGTGAAAGTGACTATCTTTGGAATTGAGACTAAAGACAGGCAGGGCGAGCAATTTATTGTAATTATTTTGCCAACTATGTACCAACAATTTAACTTTTAAAAAAGATAAGAATACATATATATGAGAGGAATTAAAAACTAAGCAGAACAGAGCACGCCAGTCTATGAAGCCATAGTGAATGGGTCTGAGGCTGGGAGCCCTTCCCTGGGACAGAAGCTTCTGGAAGCTTCCGCTGTCATTAATGGCATACAACTGAACGTGACATTGCGTCTGAGGCAGCTGACTCTTCTAAATGAATGAGTTTAGGGGAAGAACTGTGGGACTCTCAAGATCACTGAGAATTATAAGGGGGTCTAAGGAGGAGCCTGGGGAGACAGGACTCAGGAGGAAGAAGTCAGGCCCAGGAGGCCGGGTAGGCTGCTATCCATGTGCACAGGGTTAGGAAGTATTAATAGGATAATTAGCAATGGCAAATGTTACTTGGGGGATGGAGAGATGGGCTCAGTGGTTAAGAGCACATACTGCCCTTGCAGAAGACCCCAATTTAGTTCCCAGCTCCCACCCTTGGTGGCTACAACCACCTGAAACTCAAACTCCAGGGGATCTGAGGTCCTCCTCTGGCCCCCATGAGCACTGTGTCCAAAGGCTCAGAGTCACACATGAATAAACAGAATTTTTTAATTATTGCATTTGTTGTGATTTTCATATGGTCCCAGATGGGCACACATAGAGTATCTTTTTAAAGGTGGGGGCGGGGCAGAAGCCACACCCACAGCGTGAAGGAAGCTGAGCCAGGCTAGGAATGGAACAGGAGTTTGCAGCTCCTCCATCTTAAGTTCTGTGCTGGGCAGGAGCTATCAGACAGAAGGCAGATGATACCAGAAGCATCTTTTCTTCTTCCTCCCCCATGCTCTTCTCTAAGACAAGGTTTCACTTATGTAGTTCTGGCTGGCCAAGAACTTAGAGATCTGCCTGCCTCTGCCTCCCAAGTGCTGGGATTAAAGGCGTGCACCACCATGCCTGGCTGAACATTCACTGTTTTCAGCCAGGCATGGTGGTGTGTGCTCTCAATCCTAGCACCTGGAGGCAGAGCCTGGCACTGTGTTCCAAGGCAGCTGGTTTTAGGAAGAGAACTCCAGGACCCAGGACCGCCAAAGCTACACAGAGAAACCCTGTCTCAAAAAAAAAAAAAAAAAAAAAAGGAAGAGACACCTCCTTTAGGTGCCATCTACCCCAAGGGAAGGAAGGTGACAACACAGTCTAGAAGGTGGCCCTGGGGGACCAGCAGAATTTTAGGTGTGGCTTTTCATATCAAAAACATACAAATCCCTTTCTAGAAAGGGATTCGGTTGAGCTAGAATCTCTATTGGCCCAGAGGCCAATCTGGCTGCAGGAACAGCCTTTCCCTGTTCCCTGGCCTCACTGAGCCTGACTCAGGAAAATGAGGCCACAGTGCAGGTGGGAACAGAGGAGGACATTTCCGTCCTTGTGTGAATTCTCATCACAAGGTGGTTTTGTTTTTGTAATCAGCAGTGGGAAATAAAGCCATGGTCATATGCTAGGTGAAATGAGTCCAGGGTGGGCTCTGGAGATCAGGCTTAGGTTACAAGGCTTATGTGGCAAGAGCCATCATACCTGCCCTCTTTTTTCTTTTCTTTTTTCTTTCTATATAGCCCTGGCTTCCCTGGACTATTTGTAGACCAGGCTGGCCTTGAACTCACAGCCACTCACCTGCCTCTGCCTCCCTGAGTGCTGGGATTACAGGCAGCCACACCCGGCTAACCTGCTTTCTTTAAATCTGCATGATTTTCATTCTCCCAGGGATTCTGAAGCCAGCCAGCCATTCACCTTTCCTACTTGCTATCCCCAGATGAGAACACACCCTTGTCGCTGAGCCTACATGCATTCCACAGGGTTTGGCGTGGTTTTGAACTCAGCCAGGATCACACCCGAGCACCTTCCTGACCTGGAGGTCACCTCCCTATAACCTGTCCCCAGGACTCAATGAAAGAACTTGTGTTGGCAGCAGGGAACCTTAAGGCCGTGGGCTCTAGGGCCCACATTGAGAGCAGCAACAAACTCAGAGAAAGGAGTGTGTGTCCCAACAGGTAGGGCTGTTTCTCAATACTCTAGAGCCCCTCCCAGGAAGAACCAGTCACTCCCCAGGGAATGGAGACAAGTGCCTGGACTCTATGCAGTAGATGGACTAAGGTTGGAGGGAAGGGGGAGGAGCAGCCATGGGGTCACTGAGGTCTTAGTGGCCCATCCCCTTACAGCCTTGTGACCCTGGAGTGTCTGTCTCTAAGATCTGATGAGATAGTGGATGTTAACACCTGGGAACTCAAAAAGGCATCTCTGCAGATAGCACATTATCTGTTTAATCTTCAAAGAGCCAAAAGCTGCACTTTGATCAGAGGGAGAGCTTTTCTGCTGAAATTCCCACAGACTCAGGTCTGCTCTGGAAACCCCTCCCCACCACCAAGAATCCTCTCCTCGCCTCTGTGTAATCAGTCTCTCAGCTTGCCCACGACCTTGGAGGAACCTGAGAAAAAGCTTCACCAAACCACAGTACTTTTCCACTGCTCTGCTCGGCCACCTCAGCTGGCTTGGTGCTGTGCAAAGAGAGGCAAAAAGGTACCAGGCCCCAGCAGGAACCCACCGCAGATCTCCGCTCTTGGTTCTCAGAAATGCGGCTGGGGACGCACAGTGGGTGAGGGGCAGCAGGCCAGAATCCTAGAAAGAGGATGGGCTCCTCCCGGGAACTTGAAACCCACCAGTAAGGCTGGAGAAATCTGCATTCGTAAATCCCTCCGCAATATTTTTTTTTGGGGGGGGGGATTTCCATTCCTTAGCCGCCCCTCTACTCTTCATCCTTCCAATGATAAAGCTTGAAACAGTCCCAGGGCGCGCCTGTGCTGGGTCTTGGGAAGAGCGAGTCTGCGCGCGCCAGGGGGAGGGGGGAGAAAGGGAGGGGACAAGAGAGCTAGCGGTCCCGCCCGGTGATGTAGGCAGCCCAGGGAGGTGGAGCCGCGACGCCTGAAGGAGTCCCCACCGCAGCGGTGCTCTTGGTCCGCCTCATCCAGCAGCCACCAGCCCCAGCTCGAGAGACGTCCCCGCCGCCGATCGGCGGCAGGGGACAGTGGCAACCCCACCCCCACCCCCTTTTTCGGGCCTGTGGGACATCCAATGCTCCAGACCCCTGTCCCTCCTTGCTTCCCAGACGGCTGGAGTCATTCCCAGGAGAAGCTGTGCCGGGCCGCTCAAGCAGCCGCACCGGCATCTCGGCGGCCAGCCCGGCTGGGCACCGGGCATCTGCCAAACCGGCCCCGCCGGACGCCGGGCATCTCACGCAACGACTGCCTCCGGCCGCCGCCCAGCCTCTTGCAAGTCCTGGGCGGGAGGCTTCCGAGCGCCTCCGGCGTCCCCGGGACCCGAGTGAGCCCCCCGCGCTCCCAGCCCTTCGGGCCGCCACGATGCTGCCCTGGAGACGGAACAAATTCGTGCTAGTGGAGGACGAGGCCAAGCGCAAGGCGAAGAGCCTGAGCCCCGGGCTCGCCTACACGTCGCTGCTCTCCAGCTTCCTGCGCTCCTGCCCGGACCTGCTGCCGGACTGGCCTCTGGAGCGTCTGGGCCGCGTGTTCCGCAGCCGGCGCCAGAAAGTGGAGCTCAACAAGGAGGGCCCCACCTACACCGTGTTGTACCTGGGCAACGCCGTGACCCTGCACGCGAAGGGCGACGGCTGCACTGACGACGCCGTGGGCAGGATCTGGGCGCGCTGCGGCCCGGGAGGGGGCACCAAGATGAAACTGACGCTGGGCCCGCACGGCATCCGCATGCAGCCCAGCGAGCGCGGCCCCGGGGGCTCGGGGGCCCGCAAGCCGGCGCACGCCTACCTGCTGCCGCGCATCACCTACTGCGCGGCGGACGGGCGCCACCCGCGCGTCTTCGCCTGGGTCTACCGCCACCAGGCGCGCCACAAGGCCGTGGTGCTGCGCTGCCACGCCGTGCTGCTGGCGCGGGCGCACAAGGCGCGCTCCCTGGCCCGCCTGCTCCGGCAGACCGCGCTGGCGGCCTTCAGCGACTTCAAGCGGCTGCAGCGCCAGAGCGACGCGCGCCACGTGCGCCAGCAGCACCTCCGCGCGGGGGGCGCCGCCGCCTCGGTACCCCGAGCCCCGCTGCGCCGCCTGCTCAACGCCAAGTGCGCTTACCGGCCCCCGCCGGCCGAGCGAGGCCGCGGGGCTCCGCGGCTCAGCAGCATCCAGGAGGAGGACGAGGAGGAGGAGGAGGATGCGGAGGACGACGACGAGCAGGACGCCCGGGACAGCGAGGGAGGAGGCCTGGCGCGCGAGCGGCCCGAGGTGCTCAGCCTGGCCCGGGAGCTGAGGACGTGCAGCCTGCGGGGCGCCCCGGCACCTCCGCAGCCAGCGCAGCCCCGCGGCTGGAAAGCCGGCTCCAGGGAGCGGGCGGGCCAGGCGCGCTGAGAACGCCGGGCTTGGACTCGGGGGGCCCCCCCACATCGGGCCCAGCAGACGAACCTGGACTCCGACCCCGCCCAGCCCGCTTCCGCCCCCTTGGTCCCTGGCCTGCTGCCCTCGCGGTCTCCGTAGTGGTCGCCTTGCTCCTCAACCTAGCTCGTGGTGAAGCCGGATATGCCCTTGATTGTTGGGGGTGGAGGGGAGTTGCAGGAGGGAGTTTCCCTCGCCCACCACTGTGGAATTGCCCCCACGCTTTATGCCAAGTGTCTGCCCACAGACCAACCTGCTCTCTTCCAAAACAGCCTCTCAGGAGAAAGGGGGAAATGTTTGTGGAACTCCTGGAGGATGGGTTTGAACCCAGGACCCCCATCTAGGGTAGAAGTAATGGCCCTGCCCTTGATCTCTTATTCCTTATGGTAAGAACCACCCGGGAGAGATTTCAGATAAGGAAGAGAGTGGAGAGGCTGGGGAGAACTGAGGGCACCCACCTGGGACCACACACACAGGGAGGAATTCTTGGTTTTACTCGCTGTCTTTGGAAGGCTCCTGACACATCACTACTCCACCTCTAAAGGGGTCTGGGATGGTCCTGTCTACCTGCAAAGGACAGTGGGACAGGTCACAGCCCTGCACTAGGCAGCTATCCAAGCCTCTGCCTTGGCGTTCCTACAGGACACCACTCACCCCGTCTCTGCAGACAAATAACTGGTCTACTCTAGGTACCGTGCTCTGGACCAAGATGGGACCTCCAAGGGAGGTAAGGACTCATGCCCCAAACAAGCCAAGGCTCTCAGGGCAAGTAGGTCCAGACCACAGCTGTACTTACATGCCTGGTGAGGGAGGGAGAGGTATTAACACAGGCGAAGTGAGCCCTGCCCGGGTGTCTACGAAAGGCCATCACAACCCAAAGATCTATGTCATCTCCTGATCATTGTAAATAAAATGGTTTTGCTTTTTCCAGCTCTGTCACCCCTTCTGTGTAGTGCTTGCCAGGCCTGCTGTGGGTGAGACTGTCATCACGAGCCCCAAAGACAGGAGAAGGTCCAGGAAAATAGCCCTCTTTAACGTCCATACCACCTCTCCTGATGCCCTGGCAACGCCCAGGCAGGGACTGATGCCTGGAAGCTTTTCCCAGGATGTCAGGGGAGGAGGCAGTGACATATGCTTTGTTTGAAAACTGCACAAGCCAAGTCCTACAGGAGCAGCCTGTCTGTCTGTCTGTCTCTGCCTCCCACGATGTCTGTACAACATATGCTTGGGATGCAAGACCCTCTGGAGCATTTGGTAGAGTGGGAGGAGGGTTGCCTTGTTAGGGGTCTCTGTCTGGCATGGTATGTGTCATAGCCTCTAGTATAGACCATGGCCCCACCCAGTTCAGGGATGAGAGGAGGGCAGAGGGGAGGAGAGAGAGGAAGGTGAGCAGCCCAGATTTCTTTTGAAAGACTGGAGAGATGTGCCCAGTCCCTGCGACAGTGATTTTGAGCTCTGATATCGTCAGCCCTGGGCTGAGCTGGGCACTGATCCCAGAACTACTCGGAGCCTACACAAGTAGCCTGGGCTGTGGCTGGTGATCAAAATGACACTCTTTCCCAGAGCTACTGGAACAGGGATGGCGGCCACCACATGATGGCTGACCCCTCACAGGGTCAGAGGTCTGCTGCAGGAAGCCAAGGCAGCTATGCACACCAGCCTGACAAGGACCAGTTAGGCAAAGATGTCCTGTCTGCTGTGTCCCTCGTACAAGGCTTCTGCTGGTGTCTTCCCCACATCAGACAGAAGAGGTGACGTTCCACACCCACAGAGGACCGTGGGCTTCAGAGGAAGCCTCTGGGGTTGTAACAAGGTCACAAGCTTGACCTGCTGAACCCACATGGTACAGTAGATATTCCTAAACCTACTCATGGGACCAGGGCTGCTGGAGCCCTCTCCCGGGCTGGGACATTCTCACCTGAAGTGCTTAGAATTTAAGGGGCAGACACTGGATGATAAGTTACAGGCTTGATCCCAGCCTCTGGCTCCCTCCTTCACTTTTCTCCTCTGGCAACCACCCAGCACAAAATGCACACCTGCACAGCCCCCCCCCTCCCCGCCCTTCCCTCACTCAAGCAAGGCTCTGCGGACCTGGAAGGAAAAGGCCTGGGAGTGGTTTTTCTTGCCACATCTCCACTTCCGATGTGTGTGGTGGAAGGAAGGCTTGGCCAACATTTATCTATCCTCCACCAGTGAAGAGCGAGGCAGGCACGCCGCAAGCAGCTGCCACCCACCTGGCCAGAGTGTTTAAGACTGCCCTAGATCCCTGGCAGCCCTGCTCTCCACGGAGGGGGTGTGTCCTGAAAACCACACCCCTTAACAAGATCCAGACCAGCCAAGACTGGATCATGAGACCCTGTCTCAAAAACAAACTGAGCCACCACACCCAGCTGGGCTATCCAGGTTTTGTTTTGTTTTTTTGTTTTTTTGCTTGTTTGTTTTAAAGAGTTTCTCTGTGTAACAGATCTGGCTGTCCAGGACTTGCTTTGGAGACCAGGCTGGCCTGGAACTCAAAGATCTGCCTGCCTCTGCCTCCTGAGTGCTGGGATTAGAGGTGTGTACCACCACCTGGAGGGTTTTTAAAACACATTTTTTTTTCCGGTCTGTTCCAGATTCCATGGGGCACAAAGGGACTGATGTAATTAATAGGGAGCCTTATCCATCCTGCTCTAATGAAAAAGTGTATTTCTTTTTTTTGGGGGGGGAGGGGAACACTCACACATACTCTACCCCCGAGCCTATATTTTATATGATCTCAGTGATGGGAGTCCACAAATTTTACAAATTGATTTATTTTGAGTCAAGGTCTCACTGTGTTAGCCTTGAGTGTCCTGAAACTCACTATGTAGACCAGGCTGCCCTCAAATTCACCAAGATCTGCCTGCCTGCCTGCTCTGCCTCCTTCAGTGCTGGGATTAAAGATGTGTGCCACCACACCAGGCTGGATTTCTGTCTAGGTGTCTCTTTTTATGTGAGTTTTTGTTTGTTTGTTTGGTTGGCTTTGTTTGTTTTATTCATTTGTTTATTGTTTTGTTTTGGGTTTTATGTGTGCGTTCGTGTGTGTGTGTGTGTGTGTGTGTGTGTGTGTGTGTTTGGGTTTGTTTGTTTGTTTTCCACCAGGTTTCTCTGTGTAACCGCCCTGGATGTCCTGGAACTCCATCTGTAGCCCAGGCTGGCCTCGAACTCACAGAGATCCACCTGCCTTTGCCTCAAGAGTGCTGGGATTAAGGTTGTGCACCACCACACCCAACTCTCTTTCTGCGTGGGTTTTGTTTTGTTTTTTGAAGCAGGTTCTCACTATGTAGACCAGGCTGGCCTTGAACTTCTAGAGAGCCTCATGCCTCTGCCTCCCAGGAGCTGGGATTAAAGGCATGTGTCACCACACCTGGCAGATTTTTCTCTTTTTAAGTGATGGGATGCCCTCTGAGCTTTCTAGCCTGAGGTTTGGGCCTGGCGGCTACTATCAAAGCACTTTAGAGGTTCTCAGACAGGGCAATGGAGGATGGGAAGGATGGTCCTACTGAGGTCTGCAGTTTAAGGATGGGTGTCTAAACTCTCCTGGGAGCTCTGGGGCCTAAATCCATCTCTCCCTTTCCCTCCAGTGGGATGAACACTGATCAATCTGACATACCGAATACTGTCATCGGGCCTCCCAGACAACCATCCTGTCCCCATACTACTCTCCAGATGTCATGGTACATTCCTACCTCTAGGCCTTTGCACATGCTGCTCATGCTGGGGGAAATGTTTTTCCTGTTGGCTGCTGTTTTCAATCCCACCCATCCTCCAAGGCCCAGCTCCACCTACTGGAAAATTTCCTTAATGCACGATGCCCCACCTCTGCCACTATGGGGAGCATCTCTGCCTTCCGACTCAGCCCAGGGCTTGGTCTCTGCTTTCCCTACGGTCCTTGAACTCCTGTGACGGAATGTCTCACCCCTCCTGCTCATCCACCTTCATTTCTGTACTTCCTCGTGTATGCATACCTTGTCCGAAGGAGGGCAGAGAGTTGGTGCTGCTCAGGAATTATCTGTTGAACGAACACATGAATGAATGAATGAATGAATGAATGAATGAATGAATGAGCCAGATGGAAGAGCCATCGTAGGCCAGGAAACACAGTCCCTCTGCCAAGCTTCTGTTGGGAGATATGGAAGGATAAGTTCCTCAGATGCCCCACTCGGATGGACAGTGCACGGGGAGACCCACAGCCTAAGTCAAACCTCTCCTCACACATCTGCTCAGCTCTCCAAAGCCTCCAGTCGGATTCTCCCCATCCCAATGCAGAGCAGCCCCTGCTATGGCCACTCATCTTCCAGATGACCGTCTAGGCGTCTGCAGTCCCTGGTTTAATATGCTGGCAGTACACCAGACCTCAGCTCAGGGTGGCTGAGGCAAGCTGAATGGCAAGCTGGTGGGCTTTGGTAGCTGCATGACTTCAGGCAGGTTCCAAAAGGCTTTCGGAGGCTCAGTTTCCCATTTCTAGGTGAGCTGACTTCTTAGATGGCGGGAGGCTGGTGTAGTTTGTGTGGTGGGGTACCTCTCAGTTGGAGGTAGCTATTGCTGTTACCATTTTACCATTTTATCGGGAAGTCTCCCGAGGCAGAGCTCAACTGAGATCGGATGCCTGGTTTCTGGGACACCATGATGTCAGATCCAATATCTTAGACCTTGTGTGTGTGTGTGTGTGTGTGTGTGCGCGTGTGTGCGTGTGTGCGTGTGCGCGTGTGTGCGCGCGCGCTCCTGATGCTGATGAAAGGAATCCTCTACCATCTCTCTCATGGTATTCTTTGAGGCAGGGTCTCTCAGTTGAACCCAGAGTTTTCCAGTACAGCTAGCTAGTAATATCTGGGGATCTGAACTCTGGTCTTCACATTTGCACAACAAATGTTTCAACAGCAGAGCCACTTCCAGAACCCTCCTCCATCTTGTTCATCTCAGTACCCAGAACAATGCCCAATACATAGTAAACACTCCGAGGTAAATGGATGGATGGATGGATAGATGGATGAATGAATGAATGAATGAATGAATGAATGAATGAATGAAGAATGAATGATTATGTGCTCCAGGCAGCAATTCTGACACACAGACTTTTCAGTCAATGTGTGATGGTGCAACTGGCCTGACAGAAAGGAAAATATTCTAGAGACACTAGTATCCCTTGATCTGGCTATAAGGTATTTGAAACAATGGATTCCCAAGAAATGGGGGTTTTCGCAAAAAAAAAAAAAAAAAAAAAAGTCAGGCTGACAGAAGAAAGGGGAACCAGCCAAAGGGAGCTCTTGCCTCAGAAAGAGAGGTGCAGCTTGTCAGCCCACAGCCCACCTGACAGGAGGAGACTAAAGCCAGGACAGTGACAGGTCATGTCTTGACACAACAGACCACTCAGTTATGCAAGTCTTTTGCCTTCTTCTTAACCCGTACCCTCACTTCAGGATCGTGAAGACAGGCCTGTTGTGGGAGGGGTCATTGCATCTTCTCCTGGTTAGTTGTGGGGTTTTTTTTTTTGGGGGGGGGTGTTGTTTTTCCAAGATGAGGTTTCTCTGTGTGTAGCTTTGGCTGTCCTGGAACTTGCTGTGTAGAACAGGCTGCCCTCGGATTCATAGAGATCTGCCTGTGTCTTCGTCCTGAGTGCCAAGATTAAAGGTGTACACCACCATCACAGCCACCACCACCCAGTAAGAAGAAATGCCTCCATAAGATTGGTGTATAGGCAAGTTCGTGGGTTTGTTTGTTTGTTTTCTTTGATTAATGGCTAATGTGGGAGGGCCCAGCCGATGGTGAGCTTCAGTTTCTGCCTCCAGGTTCCTGCTTTGAGTTCCTGTCCTGGCTTTCCTCAGTAATGAAGTGTGACATGAGGGTTAGTTGTAAGATAAAATAAGTCCTTTCTTCACTAAATTGCTTTTCAGTCCTGGCGTTTCATCACA